ATTTGCCTAATGGGTTGAATTTCTACAGAATATACTTTTGTTCATAACAATTGTATTGGAACTTATTGATTTTTCAGTTAGTTTCATTATGTTATACATAATTTTGATTAGGTGATGGGTTTTTATTATATTAAAGTCGAATATAGCACTTACAAGGACTTTCGAGAGGCATCCCACGACTTAGATCATAGTTTATCTATGCGTAACAAAGATTATATGATTAAAGATGGTTATGTATTTAAGACTATTAGTCTTTGCATTCTTATTTCATCTTTAAGGAAACTTTTTATTTTATAATTACATTTTAGAGATATTGTTGGACAATATAGGATAGATAAAAATAAAAAAAGCAAAAACTTAAGTTATATATTATTGGCTTAATTTAAAATGAGATGCGACATGCATTGTTTCACAATGCTGGATTTGCCATAATGCTTAAGATGAGAAACATATCATAGGGTTGTATATGTCATTAATAATTTGGTATTTTCGATGGTTTTATTTCTTGGGTTTAAGTTTGTTCATGCGGTTTGATATTCTGGATGGTTCAATAAGTTGCTAGCTCGGTTCATTTTGGTAGCCTGTTATGAAGAGTCACGAACTTTCAGTTCATTTTGATCAGGGGTTTATCTGTTTCATGCAAATACAGCATTTTTATTTCACGCTAAGTCTTCTTCTCAAGCTTATGGATTGTTTCAGATTCCTCAGGTTACGGATGATATATCTATAGCTATTGCGGTTACCGAGGAGGCTTCGTTTTTGCACTAAAATTCGCTGCTTTGTATTGGATTGGCGCATGAACCATCCCTTAACTATATTTATCAATTTAGGGAAAAACAATGAATTAAAATGTCTATAAACAGACTATTCAAGGCATTTTGATATTTTGCTTTGATTCAAAATATTTTCAGATAACAAATTTCAATTTTGTGCATATCTGTTGAATACATGATTCTTTTGAGCGTCATCTAAGTACAAAAACTTAATTATTGGGTGAATCATCTCCTTGAAATAGCATATTTTTATTATTAGACTTGTTAGAATTCTTGATTTTGATCAAATTAGATAAAGTTGAGGTTTTAAAATTCAATTGCTCCTTGATTATGCATTATTTTAATTTTTCGTTAATTTTTTTTTTCAAATTTACTCGACCATTGCATTATTAGTTGAGTTCAAATTCTCATATTTTCTTGTTGATAATCAAAGAAAATGAGTTTTTATGTATTTAGTAATCTTTAATTTACAAATCATAATTTCATTTGTGTAATCATCATCCATTGCATGATCCAAAGTTGTATTAACAATCCTAAACTCTTAAGCTTCTTGCGTCACATGCCTTATTTAAATCACTTCGATCATCCTATCTGGCTTTTTGTGCATTCTCACCCTCCATGCTTTAGAAATCCTAGGTTCAATAGATATTTAATGAGGCCAATGTAAGTTAGAGCTACTTATTTGTATGAGCTATGCCTCTTTTGTTTGTGTTGTATAACATGTCCTTTGTCCCTTATTATAACAACATTTTGTTTCTGCTTTATTAGAATCATTTCGTTATCATATCTCTATGATCTGTTGTAGTATGTCTGAAAAGGTTAAATAACTTATTTATCTCTGGGCCTTTTTCTCTGTGATGTTTTCATGCCATAAGGAATGTGTCCTTCTTGATTTCATTCCTCATCTCCAAGATGATTTTGCTATGTAAGGACGCCAGCAAAGAAATACTATAGCCATAGTGACAGCTCTTACACAATTCAAATATAGTTGACATGAAATATAGAAGCTGTTGAAATTACCTGCAAAGTTGTTAAACCGGTGCAACTTTTGTCTCTTATTCAGCTGCAGCAGCTAGGAAACAGCTTCTTTTCTGTTGCATCAGCAAGAAACGGAATTCAAGCTACCTGCAACTTGAAAATTGATAGCAGAAACAACTTGGCGCACATATTGAGAATAACAACAGATTGTAATTTCAAATAGAAAGCGTCATTCTTCTATATTTTGTCGAAGGATTACAAGGGATTTGTTAGCCCAAGAAATCCTAACAGAATATTCTGCAGCACCCATCTTCCTCCCGGTCCTCTAATTCTTACTTTACCCGTTTCTCATGTTTCTAGCTTTTATAGATCAGCTAGGCTAACAAAGGAAGAAAAAGAACTCAAAACTACATCGCTGTCAAGCTAACTGACAAAGTTACTTGGTAATTACATTCAAGAAAATAAAGTTAACTCTTAACGAACTGAGTTACGGAGTTCTCGAAGTCCCTATTACAGACCAAAGATATTTTTCTCAGCACTTCACACAAGTCTCGCACCAATTTCATTTTTTATTGATATTGAAGGCTAGTTTACTTCATATCGTCAAGGTCTTGATACTATGTGGTTGGTAGCTTGCACCTGAGTTGGAATACTTTGTTTGATTACGGTATTTTTGGTTTTTATCCCTAATGCACTGCAATGGGATTTTCTTGGTTTATTAATGATTACCTAATTAGGTAAATCATAATGTCTTAAAGTTGGTCTTTTTTAGAGTATTTTGGGCTTAATAAAGAAAGTGTTGTATACATCATGAACATTTCCCCAGTTGGAAATGTTTTGCTTCAAGATTTTTGTACGTGTAGTAATAGTGCTTATTGGCTATTGTTGTTATTACACACTTGGAAGCAAAATTTTCAGTTTTCTGCTCAGCTCCTATCATGTAAGATTTGCCTTTACAGGTTACTAATTTTTTTAACATATTACTAATTGGTGTTTCTTCAGTGCTGACTAAATAGGTTTTATTAGATATCTCAAAAGTCAGAGAAATGAACCGAAAACATTGTCAAACGATTCCATGATTATCAGTATTCGGTAATGCATGGAAGATTTGAAACGATAATGTAATACAAACATCGAGTTTTCGTACATCTCTGCATAGTTTCGGGTGGGAATTACATTAACTAATCTCTGTATTCAAAGGAGCATTTTCTCCTTCATTATTGCCTTCTTTTTTGCCCTATAATGGCCTTCTTTCCATTGAAGTTACAAGGAACCAGAGCTCGATCACAATTCCATTGTTACCTTTGATCTTGACACTTTTGGCGTTTTAATCTTCTTCTCAATTAGTTGGATAATAGCATTTAGGCTCTTCAGTCTGTCGACTTATACATAACTTTTAGCACTCAATGAACTTTGTCTAAATGTCATCATCTGGTAACGCACAAGGAGTTTAGGTTTAGGCTCAACTTTGGGTTGGTTAAAGTTATGTTGGCATAGAGAATCCAAATAATTAGACCTCAAAGGTTTAAATTTTTTGAATGAGGATGATTTTGACCATTGTTGTGTTTAATCCAGATTTAATTCATATTATTCCGTACCCTCCTTAATAAGCGATATCAGAGCCAATGATTCATTTGTGATTGAGTCTTTCATGCAATTTATAGACCCCATTGATCTTTATTTTATTCTTTCCATGATGAGGCAAAAAGATTTAATAATAGAGGGCTCACATGATGGTTCCATCTGATTGACTGGGCTTTATATCCATGATATTTGACTTAGTTAAAAAGATTTCATTTGAAGGGTTGTGATGATTGATGTGAAGAGCTCTCATGTAAGATGAGATACTAAGAAATATTGAGAGGTTGACCCTTAACCACAGTCTTTAACCTTTTGGGTTAAAAATGGGTTTCGATCATTGATATATCAAATCCAACTTTGATTCCCATTTAATCCATAGCTTCCATAGCATCATCATTAGCTTGATCCCCCAATTATTTGGGGTTTGGTTTTATGACCTCTCTCACTTGTCATGATCTACAAGCTCTGTAGCTAAGATTGAAGGGTTTTAATTTTATATCGACAAATATTTTTTTTTTTCCACAATAGAACTCCACTGGGTTGTTGTAAGACCTCAAAACTATTCATTTTGCATTGCCATCAGCTACACTGAAAATTTACGATAATTAAGTTTTCTAGAACTTATCAATGTAGCAAAGGCTTCTGGTTAACGTGTCAAGGAAAAGTTAATATATATATAGATATATATATGCAACGATGTGATGTGCAGCAAGCGTGGATAACCATCCACAGTTCAATTGCAGAGCAACCCTATCCCTTCCATGCTCAATTTCTGATACAGATCGAAACATAGTTTCCTTAATTATTAGATGGCGATAGCATCCTATATCTCTGATATTTTAGTGTGTTTTAAACTAAGAAGCGATTTCTTTGGTTTATTATTTTGTGCCATTTGTCCATGCATCATTGATCAGTGCCCCACACCTCGGGCTTGCTTGGGAGACGACATGCCTGGTTATCTCTGTCATGTAGGCAATTATTTTTCATGAAAAACTAAAGCTCTTACGACAAACATGAAGATTTCCTATGCTTCTTGCCTAGTATTCTGTCATCCCACATCACAAACATTAAGATTTCGGCTTTTTTATTGTTTTTTAAAGCATCTTTTTAATACAAAATTTATATTTTTGTACTAAAAAATTGTTTTAAAAAGTAGGAGAAAAACTGTTCCTAACAAAACCTAAGACTTCTTAAATTTTCTCTGCCTATGATCTTACTCTACTGAAACCCATAATTCAGTTCAGGTCATGGAGAACTACGAAGTATTAGTCGTTTTTTTCCCTCAAATGTTAAGCTTGTCCCATGCATGCATGCATGCAAGCTTCAACGTTCTTATATGCTTAATGTCTTTTTATATTTGTATTTGTGTTTGTCAGGTTAGTAATACTTGATAGTTTAGAGCACTTTTCAACTCCAAAACTCTCAAAGTTTGTTTATTTGAGTTTAAGATGATTTATATATTAACAAAATACGCCTTAGGTTCTTGATTTAAATAAAACATGTTAATGGTGATTGCCAATGCTTCGGCCTCTTCTTCTTGGATTGAAAAATCTTTATCTTTTTCTTTCTAATGAATTCTCAGAATAGTTGATCAAGTTCTAAATCTTGAGTACATTTCTGCTGAAAAGAAAAAAACATATAACGCGAGTAAAAGATGTTTGGAATCGATTATCAAGTAGATCATGGAATTCTACTATTAGTTCACCAGCTTTATTCATGGTTCATGTAATGATACTTCAACACATATAATATATATGTATACTGTGTAGAGTACACAGTAGAAACAAACAAAAGAATTCAAACACAAACTACCTAGAATTTTCTTTTTCTTTTTTGCTATCATTCTTGCTTCTCTTACGTTCTAATTACTCTAAAACTATATACAGCTGCAATCCAAGCTTCAGAATGGAGGCAAGTTCGTCAAGCTCGGTTTCAGCTGAGGTGAACAGAGCGCTTGATAGAAGAAATCCTGGTTCAAAGATGAATCAAATGTTCCCAGTGTCATAGTTGCCGATTCCGTCCCTAGGGCATCCAGTTCATCCAGATTCAAGTCCAGGAACCAGTCATTATCCTCCTCCTTGGGTCGCTGCTCCATTCCTTTAAAGCTCAATGCATTCCCACAAGACGTCCGCAAACCAGGCATGCCTAGATCATTAAACTCTGGCAAAGAATCGTCCACATCCGACTCCGGCGTTCTAAAGCTTTCCGATCCAGTATCCTCCACCGCCTCCATGGAATCCATCGTCTCTTCAAACGATGGAGATTCCTTGATATTCTGCTGCATCTTCTTCTCCCAGGCATTCTTCTTATTATAAAGCCTGCAGAGTACCCAGTCGTCCAACTGCAAGATGTAGAAGCAAAGCATTAGGTAACATAATAAAAACATAAGGGAGATAAATATATGATATTATGCTATGGTGTCTTCTCTTCTTACCCTGAGGCTGCCTTTCTTGTTGGCTGACCGGTTTGTTTCAGCAAGCCGATATTCATGCATGATCCAATCTGTCTTGGCACCTCTTGGAGCCTTGCCGGAGTAAAACACTAAAGCCTTCTTGATGCCGAGAGGCCGGCTGACTCCCTTCGGCAACACCGGCTTGTCGGCACCGGTGGCCTTCCAGTATCCCTGTCCGGCTGCTCTATTTGGCCTGGAGCCGTTGGGGTACTTTCGGTCTCTAGGGGTGAAGAAATACCATTCTTTCTGCCCAAACAGCGCTTTTTCTGCAAAAGAGCTAAATTTATCAGCCAATATAAAATCCGGAGAAAGTACAGAGAGATTGAACTGTGAAATTTATGGTACCTGGTAGTTCCCAGGGGTCGAACTTATACAGATCGACCTCGGCGATGATGGGGACGGGGAGGCGTTGATAGGCGGCTTTGCGGCAGAGGTAGTGCACGACGAGCTCCTCGTCGGTAGGGTGGAATCGAAAGCCAGGCGGCAGGTTGAGCTCTGCCTCGGCATCGCGGGCGCGGCCCATGGCGAGAAGAATGGCCGGCTAGTCACTCTTATCTCTTTTACTGGTGTTTGATTTGAAGATTGCGGTCAAGGCTCTAGGTTTTTTGGCAGGGGAAGAAGAAGGGTTTGGTGTATAAATAAACACGGGGGCTTTGGACGCACGTGGATGGAAGTGTGGGCTGGTGGCTCCGGGAAGCTTCGTGGGCCGAAGGGAGGCGGAGAATTGGGTCGGTCAAAGCTGGGGACGGCTGGCTGCGAAGGCGATTAGTCAAAGTAGATTGAATACTTTTTTTTTTTTTTAGATGGATTTGATATTTAAATTTCGAACTCAAAATCTCTTCATTAATGGCCAAAGTTTCGAACCAGCTGATATAAGTGTGGACATAGCTTAGCTGTAATCAGGTGTGGACGGGCATTACAAGTTATATACGGTTGGTAGTAATTATGTTTAGGATTTTGATGAAGATTTAAGATGTCTGTTTAATTATTGTGCTGTTAGCTAAGCAATACTCACCACCCATCTAAATAAGTGAAAATGTGTGGTCTCAGCCTGTCAGGCACTTGGAAATGGTGACTTGTGTCTGCAGCTTTGAGGCCGAGCACTAATTCTCAAATGTTGTGAAGGAAATGAAGATCAGAGTCTTTTTTATTTTTATTTTTTGAACATTTAGTTTTACCTGGATGAATACAGAGATCAATATTAACTGGATGTATTCATCTCTAAACTGACGGAGAGCATTAGATTTAGCACACAAACAAATGAAAGAGAGGCATTTATAAGAGACAACTGAGATTTTTATGTGGAAAACTCTAAAAATGAAAAAATCATGTGGCATGACCAAGTTTGAACAAATCCATTAGTATTTGTAGTTGATTACAAATGAGGCCTTTCCTTGAGGGGAAAGACTTGGCTTGATTGAACTAATATATATCATATAGAGTGCATTACATGATGGAAATTGGAAGAATAAGAATTGAAATGTTCGTTTCGTTTGTAGGACCATAGTCGGTTGGCGATGGAGGTGGGAAAGGTTATATTTCGAGTGATAGTGGTTGGAAGGACCATAGTCGGTGAGCGAGGGAGGACGGAAAGACTGTTGTCAGGCGATGGAGGTCAGAAGAATCGTAGTCGGTGGGATATAGAGGTCGTAAAGATTATTGTATGAAAATAGAGGTCGGAAGGAACATAGTCGGCGGGTGACGAAGATCAGAAAGATTATAGTTAGAAAGATTATAGTCGTGTGAGGGTGGTCGGAAGGACCATAGTTGGCGGGCGACGGAGGTCGGAAAGACTTTTGTCAGGCGATTGAGGTAGAAAAGATCATAGTCGGCGGGTGGCAGTGGTCAGAAAGATCGTTGTCTGATGGAAGTTCATCAATAATTGGAAGCCAAGTGGAAGACCGACGTTAGTTAGTGGTCGAGTGTAATTCCGATAAAAGTTAGTGGTTCGATAGAACTCCGACATTAGTCGGTGTTCCGGCAAAAATTTGACGGCAATCTGTGGTCCGACAAAAGTCTAGGCGTTAGTCGGTGGTTCGATAGAAGCCCATGCATCAGTTGGTGGTCTGACAGAAGTCCGGGCGTTAGTCGGTGGTTCGGCAGAAGTCTGGGCATCAGTCGGTGGTCTAGCGGAAGTCCGGGCATCATTCGGTGGTTTGGCAGAAATTCGAGCGTCAGTTGGTGGTCCGGCAAAAGTCTAGGCAGTGGTCGATGAGGAGTTTGGTGGGAAGAGAGAATATCATATTCCTTCTCTTCCTTGGGGCCCCTTTTCATGAGAAATGAGTGGTCTATTTATAGATTTCATAGAGTGAGATGGCTAGTAAATAAGAGGAAGACCAAAGGTAAGTTGGGACTAGTTTGCATGGATGAACGATGTTGATTCCCTTGATTGTGGACTATATACTGAACATTTAAATGTCTTAGTGATATCAGAATTCAGTGATCTTGGGCTCGTTGGATTCGTCTCGTCGAGCCGCTCGATTCGATTATGAGCATGTCACATTTGGAAATTGTTTGATAATTCAAATTATGATTTGAACCTTTCAATAGCGCTTCAGGTCTTTGATTTGGACCCATTTTGGCTCAGATTGAGTTGAATTTGATGTCGTTGGGTTTGTATTTTTGAGACGTTCAGTTTGGCTGTAAGTTTGTTGAAATCAGAGTTCCGATGGTCCCAATTTTAATTTTCAAAGTTTCCACCTTGATTGTGCCTCTATATTCGTGCCCGATCAAGATAAATTTTTGATGATATATCAAGCATCATTTTAGCTAAACTTTTTTGCAAATGTATATAAATCGTGTGCTGTATCATATAGGAGTGATGTTTCTATGTGAACATTTTACTAAGGGAGGCTATGAGATTTGACTTAGTTGAAATAATACAATTAGTGTTAGTTATAAATCACAAATGATTTATTTTTTATAAATAAAAGATGTTAATAAAAATTAAGTTATGAATCGTGGTGGAATTAAGAGTTTTGAGGTGATAGAGTTGCCATCGGGGATGGGTGGTTAGCTTGGTTGTTCTTGATATAATGTGAGATTGGATGATTTAAAAGATGGGTGTTAGATGTTAATGGCTAATGGATATTAGACATTAGTTGTTGTTAAGCATTGAGTTTATTTAATAGGAGATATTGAGTAGTTATTTTTCTAATATGTGGAGGATTAGACAACTAAAGAGATTAATAGCGAACATAAGTGGCTAAAAGATCTCAATGTTGATTGATGAATGTTGGATATTGGGCCATCATCAAGCATTATATGATTTTTAGCAAATAATTTTAAGGTTCAGGCAACAGTGAATGATTAGCTTAGTCTTTTTTTTCTCAAGAGGGATACTGGACGACCAAGAAGTTAGTATCAAATATTAGTGTTGGACGTTGATCATTAATAGGGGTCATATGACCATTTGAACAATAGAACTTTGTTTATAATGGATGAATAACTTTATATTCTTTGAACAGAAGAGTGCAGAAGAGTGGATCAAGTGATTGAAAGGACTAGTGAGAACATTGTTAGCTTGGCCATTCTTCTTGAATGTTTGTGCAACTCTTAGATTATTTGCAAGTGATTTATGTTTGAGCTCTTAATTCTTTGGGAGTTTGTTTTCTAGTCATTGGGAAGTAACTGAAAGACTCTTGGAAAGAGAAAATTAGGGTTCTAGGATTTTGGTCTAGTGTATGAAATTATAAGATGACTGATAGGGAATGTATGGAGTTGGACAATAATGGGTTGTCTATTTGATTTTTCTCTTGATATGAGACGAGATAAAGTTACAACGAAGAATAATGTTAGATGTTGATCATTAGATGTTGAACGATGATCAATATGAAAAATCAAAATTAGACGATGATAGTTGATTAGATTTATTTTTTTCTTGATAGGATGTGCAATTGAGTCATTGGAAAGGAAAGCTTAAACATCATTTTCTTTAGTTTGCTCAGTCTATAAGCCATGCGATGGTTGGCGATTAATATTATATTTTTTTAATAGAAGGTGAGACTAAGTTACTAGAAAAAATGTCATTAGTGTTAGAAGTTGTTGCACATTATGCATCAATTCTTGACAAGCCTCATAAGATAATGAGGAACATTGAAAGTATGACAATGATGGACATGCAAAAAAAAAATCATTAGAGCTACTAGATTAGAAATTGTTTGACATAATAGTCCTTTTAGCTAGACAAAAGGTTGGGCTATCAATAAGGGCATAGTAGAAGTGTTAAAATGCAAAATCTCATACACCATTTATTGATTGGGGTTCCAAACAACAATCAAAGATACATAGTTCTCTATGATTTGAAATTCTCTCAATTAGAGTATTCAAACACACACACACACACACATATATATATATATAGTACAAAATTTGAATTTCTCATCGAACTTTCAAAAAAATCTCCATTGATCATTTTATAAATTTTTAGATATATCACAACTTTAATGAACTCAGAACTATGTGATCTTGGAATCAAAGTTATCCCATCTCTTCCTCTTGGTCAAATGGATTAAAGAAGTTTTCAATTTTATTTTTAAGTGCTTGATATAGGCTCATTTGAATTCAAATATTTTTGATAAAATCTCATAAGAATATACTCTGAGGGTTCTCAAAATTGGATTGTGGGTTAACCCGATATTGATCCGCTACTGTTTGACAAAACCTGATCTCGGCCCATTTTTGTAGACTGGTTAGAAATTTCAACATGGACCCAACCCGTCAGGTTTACAGGTTGACCCGACCCGATACGAAACCACGATGCGAGAAGCATGCGAATGGGAGAAAAATGGTTTTATTTGAAATGTTCGAGCTCCCTCCCATCATCGTCTTACTTTTGATCCAACAAAAGAACCTCGAGTTGTCGTGACTTCCGACCCGATAGGAAGGAACGTCATTGAAAGAGGTAAAGAAGTCTTTAGTGCGAGAATGCGGAGAAGCGCGTGAATGGGAGAAAATGGTTATATTCTCAACGAGCGAGCCCCCTTTGAAATCTGAACCTTCCCGTCGTTGTTTGTTCCAATTCTGATCCAACGACATGCTCTCGTGACTTCTAACCCGATAGGAAGGAACATCATCGAAGGAGGCAAATATGTCTTTTATCGACTCGTTCAAAACTTTACCTCACGTGGACTGGCTGAGGGTGTGTGTGTGTGTGGGGAGGGGGGGGGTCTCGATTTTTTAGAAGGGTAGAAATTTAGAATTGATCTCGACCCGTTTGCCAAATGGGTTGAACCTAGTCCAAAAATTTGAAGTTGGGTTTGAGTTGAATTTTCCGGTCCCGTCAAATATTGATTACTATCTTGCCTAAAATTTACTAAAAACTGAAGATTTTTCTGACAATTTTTTAAAAATTATAATTTTGATACAATTTTTAGAAAATTTTTACCTATATATTAGCTATTTTCATGTCTACAAAATTTATTCAAATTTAATGTTTTATTAGATGAATATTTTGTGGAATCAAGGTTATTACTAAAAATTTCACGATGACTACAATTTACACAAGCACAGTTACTTCTTTTCTTCAACCTCCTGATGCATTTTGGATGGCCATGATTAATTTTAGTTAAACTAGAACGGTTTTAATACAAAAAAAATCAAACAATTTACAGGGCACGATACAGACGATTGTCCCTAAACAATTCCCATAATAATTGGAGAGAATCCGAATCCATATTTACTAATTTTTTTAGATAATTTAAAATCATTTCCACTTATTCTTTTTTTTTTCTTTTTGATATTTAGATTAATAGTCGTCCTCCCCAAGAATTTTGCTTCAAAAAAACTCTTAATGATGTGGCGAATCTGCTCTGTTACAGGAGTTCTGTCACTGCCTTCTGTCACTGCC